TTTTTTTTAATGGATGGGCGCTTTTTATTTAACTTCTTTTGGACTGATGCATGCAACACCCGCTGAATGGCATGAAACAGCTTGAAAGATCAAAGACAATTTTTAATATAACTCCGACTGGATTCATCTGAAAGAAGAAAGTCATATACACCTAGGATGCCTTGAGGGTGAGTAATTTATGGGCTAATTTTCACTTTTGGGTGAACTAACCCTTTAAATCCACTATTGTTTTATTTAGAATTGTTCTATAGTCCAACTGTATTTAATGCAATTAGCCTACGTCAGAAGCAGCTGTAATTAAATTACAGAAAAATTTAGAGTAATCCCTTACTTTACTTTTTCAAGGGAATTTAATTACAGTAATTAATTATTGGTAAATACTTTTTTTTTTTTAAATACTTTTAGTTAAATAAACAAACAAACAAATAAATAGAGTTCCTTAGTTATGCAAAAATGCTATAAAATATTACTGTAAATCAAATACAATGATTTATTTATCCCCACTATATATGAAAATCCCCAATAAGAAAATGCATGACAATTCCGTTGGTTTCGAGCTGCCATATGTCGCGATTTGACAACATCTATTTAACTTACCAAATAAATACAAATAAATAAACAATCCTTACTAAATATGTTTAGTGATGCACTTCGAGAAATAATCGCGTGTTGCGGTGATATGGCATCACTGGAGAACAGAGGGTTAATGTAGCTCATCAGACATGATTAATCAAGAAAATAAAACAAAAAACCTTAGTACTAAATATTACTATGTGAAAGTACAATGGATTATAAAGTATCCAACTACTATTACATAAATACAGTATTACACTACTACATTTGTGATATAAATGATGCATCTGCAGTTTTGGTCGGTCTGTGTTGTGCGACTAATCGAGCCTAGCACATGTTGCGACAGCGCCTGCGCAGACTTCATGCGGACCATATTTATTTTAGCTTCTGGGCTACATGTAGTCATGCTGCCCATGTGGAACATATAACTCAAATAAAAGCTCTTTACATCGGTTCATTCACATTAAAACCCGTAGTTGTCTGAAATGGCGAAGGATGGTGCAGCGAAACTGTCCAAAAATCTCCTGCGGATGAAGGTAAGAAGCTCTGACTCTTGCAGAAATCAAACATTTCTGGTCTTCTGAAGAGGAAATCATTCAGTGGTGAACCTTTGATTCGAATTTTGATTAAAACAATGTTGCTTTGTTTCGAGTGTCGTGCTGTTGCTGAATGCAGTGTGTTGTAGGTCACGTGCTGCAGTGAATAGTGACCCGTGTGTGTGTGTGTGTGTGTGTGTGTGTGTGTGTGTGTGGTCTGAAGAGGCATTCAGTGGTGAACCTTTGATTCGAATTTTGATTAAAACAATGTTGCTTTGTTTCGAGTGTCGTGCTGTTGCTGAATGCAGTGTGTTGTAGGTCACGTGCTGCAGTGAATAGTGACCCGTGTGTGTGTGTGTGTGTGTGTGTGTGTGTGTGTGTGTGT